GTTTAATTGACGGCAGTCTATTGCAAACTACACGACGCGATTTGTGTCTGGGGTGGCCACGTAGTTATGCAAACGGCGGTAAAATCTGATGAGGACACTGAACAACAGAGGCCCTGTAACTGTAGCATGCAATAAGAGCAAATTTAATTTCTTAAAAGTCTCAAGTACGGGCCATGCGGTGTAAGCCTGTAATGTGTTACTGTGGTGTGCTGTCCGAGCATTGTGGCTCTATATATAATGATGAAAGCGCATAAATTGTGATTGGATAAAATAATGTCTTCAGTAATTTTGAAAAGTGACATACCGTTCCGTTTTCCCTATTTCAGAACACGCGTCAATGGAAAACAAAGAAATAAGTATCAAGGAAATGATACGTGTTCTGAAATGGGAAGGCATCACTCCTTGATCCATTATTAGAAAAAATATATATAAATATATCTAAAGATAACGTGTAATTGTATGTTTTCTAACAGTTACTCCTGGCACCACAACACAGAAAACACCGACAAGCCCCATTTCGCAAGGTATCTCGAGTGAGAATGTTGGTGTTATGAATTCGAATGYTGCTGCTGATGATGAGAGTATGTGGACCGCGGTTGATCAAAACGACGATGAAGAAGATGATCATGATGATCGCGCTGCGAGAAATGGCACCGTATACAATTTAAATTTTACGCCTAGCAGGAGTACTTGCCAACTCTTACGWATTTCATTTCTGGTTGCTTTCAGCGCCTTCCCTTCCTGGTCGTAGCAAGTGCTTTAAAAGACGCTTAAAAAGCATGGTAAAAATTAAGTGAACTTGTAACGGAGCAGTTTTCGTATGAGCAGAAAGGAAGCGAGCAATTCTTAGCCTTACTCTTTATCAGACAAGCGTGCGTCTAACAACACAATATAATTGGATAATTCAATCGAAGAAAATGAGAARTTTMTTTGGTGTGGTGTAAAGAATTGTCMTAACRTAGAACAATGTGCACGTTAGTGACGTAAACCTTACGAAAATTGCTCCTTCGATCTCTCTGCAAACACAGTCTTGATTCCTCTTGTTATTCATTATGTTTTATGCCTGGGGGTTATTCATTCATTATAACCTAATTAGTAGTACCTTTGGTTTTACTCTAAAGATCTCACTAATAAAAATATAAATACCTTTTTAGATTCAGTGTTTCAAGAACGATTCCATGAGCTGGAAGAGGTACCTGAGATCTGTAAGCTCTTCTAATGATACCAATGATATTCTGAAGGTAACAATCATTGAACTTATGTGTTTATATCAATAAATAATAATCTGATTTAGTATAAACCTACTAGCTTACTATCATGAATCCTGCAATCTGATTGGCTAACGTACTCACTATCTATCCTGTGACACATATCTCATTGGTCCCTTTCTTTCACGTGTATTATCACTAATAGGTGCCTTCACAATTTTAAGCTAGCTCTTTTTACAAACATGCGAATTAACATATCGCGTGTTCGTAAATAGAGCTTATTAAGTGTGACGTCCATCGTATGGGAAAACGACTTCCGGGGTCCAAAAACAGAAAAGCAGTTCCAYATAGATGCTTCTTACTTTCTCTCAAGGCAGGATTTTTCGCCCGAAGTCAGTCTAAATTGTTTCGGGTGGAACTGAAATGATTGAGAACATTATTTGTTTTATTTTCGTGCTTCCTCAGACCGAAATCATGCAAACATTAATTTATGCTCAGATCAACACCCATTCTTCTCATTTTGGTTCACAGAAAGCAGTAAATAACACGGATGAAATCTTTTCTGCCTTTGAAAACGAGCGTAATTCATCTCAAGGGTTCAATGCTTTTGACGTGCTCGAAATATTGGATGACATTGGTCGATACGTGGCAAATAAAACGGGAAGCACAACATTGACAGCATACAGCGATGATATATGTAAGTAAGCTAAAAATATACAATCGCCTTTATCATTTTATCGTTTGCGCATGCGTGCAACAATAGACATTTTTTAACTTGAGCTTTTTAGAAACTTCGGTTGGATTGCGCCAAGAACCGAAGGGCTCCTTACACATCTGTTTGAAATTGTGTCTGATTGGCCAACTTGGCTTTTGTTTTTATATCGGTATCCTTAAAGAACTTCTGGGCTGATCTTATCTAAGTCAGGGCAGCGCTAACTCACAGATCGAGTCCTGAAACAACCTCCTGGCCAATCTAAGTCAGAGCATGGCTAACTCACAGATTAAACCCTGAAACAACCTCTGAGATGATCTAAGTCAGGGCACGGCTAACTCACAGATTGAACCCTGAAACAACCTCTTGGCTGATCTAAGTCAGGGCACGGCTAACTCACAGATCGAGCCCTGAAACAACCTCTGGGCTGATTAGAGTCAGGACACGCCTAACTCAATTGAATTTGAAATTTAGCATGTTTTGTGAAGGGAGGAAAAACCGGCGAGACTTCGATGAACCCTGAGAAAACCCTCAAATCAAGAAGATTCCTAAGAAACTCTGCTCACATGAAGAACCAAATGTAGAGATGAAAGACGAGTGCATGAAATCGTATTTTTATTAATATTAATATTATCATCATATATTGATTCCAGTTATAGAAATATCACCGATACATCTTCCGTATCATTTTCC